GTTCAATATCACAGCAATCAAAGAAGCACAATAATTGTGTTTTTGTGAATTCAGAGCCAACCTTACACAGGAAAAAGATAGTATAATGTAGAATACCTGAGTTAGCAGCAATCCATCCTGTGCACTGAAGTAGGCAAGGACCCCAGTGAAAGAGTGTGTGACCAAAGAGTTAAAGATTATTTTATATGCATAAAAATGATGAGCTGAACTTGGATGTACTATTTTTCTGTTACTTGTATCTTGATTATGTAAAGAAATGAAAGCATCTTGGGTTTCTGTTGTATATTTCTACAGTTTTGGCTTTATAAACAGATGTGTTCCAATAGCTAATTTCAAAACTAACAATTCTGTAATTAAGGAAGCAAGTACAGCCTATGATAATTCTTAATTCTCAGGGAGATGATCAAGTTGAAGGGAAAATGCTCAATTAGTACTGGTATTTTTGTGTTCTAATTTAGCCATTCCCACAGTCTCTGTCCATTGCTGTGCTCCACTTTTGCAATTACAAAATAATGAAGCCATTGTTCAAATTTCTTGTCCAGATCAGGGGGACATACCAGAGGAGTGTGAAAGTGATGTCTTGCATCCATCTGGGGACATTGTCGATGGAAACTGTGTCACAGCCCCTGTGCCAGCAACAGCCACTTCACTGCAGGACTTAAGTGAGTTCTCAGCTCAGACACAAAACAAAGTACCCTTTCTAAATGTCAAATGTGTAACACAGAAAGCCAAATATTTAAGAGTCTATAGGTATGTAGGCTGGTGTAGATGAAAAATTTTCCAGAAAGTGCCATTTCTGTAATAAAGAGAAAGGAGTGTTTTCCTTTGCTTTTCTGTATGAGGATAACTTTTTTCATCCTGGTTTTAGTTGAATTTGCTTTTAATTTAAACATTCTTGTCACATATCCTACCCCTCCATCCAGCCTCTTGTGAGATGATTATTTTTTCTTTAGGATAATTATTAAATATAATTCTGCTCTTTATAGGAATGAGACATCAAATGTTTTGAAGTATTTTATGTACTGTTTGTCTGGATTTTTAAAAATTTATTCTTGACTCTGTTGTTGAACTGTATTATTAAAACATCAATTAAACATTAACATAACATTAACAATTAAAAGCATTAAAACAATGCAGTTTTAATTATTTGGCTAGATGAGAATAATATCTCATAGTCAGCATATGCTGCTATTCTAATTGTTCTAGATGGAAACATTATGATTCTTTTTATTTAGAGAAGGGCTTTCTAGCTTCTCATGATTCCCACTCCTTAGTTTGCCCATCTCATTGCTGTCTAATGCTGTTCTTTGTACACAGCTTTTTAAATACATTGATCATATCACCAGTGTGTCCTGCAATAATTTTCCAAGGGGTTTTAAATACTCTGCTTTATAATTATAAAGAATTGTATCCAACCACATTGCAGAGGGGTAAAGAATACAGTAACATGGACTTTGGGATAAGAAAGGTTTGTTTTATAAGAATGTCCATTAAAGGAATGAGAAGTGCACAGATCTGTCAAATCTCTGGCCTATACTTTGGCTCTACTCCTTAACTCTTGGTGAATCATTTATCAGACAAAAAAATGTTGAGAGGTGGGAAAACACATTACCCCATACCCAAGAGTAAGTTTGGTGTATGTACAAACAATATATCCAGTTGTTTTTCATTTGCTGTTAACGTTATACAGGAACCTGATACTGATTTGTATGCTCTTGTAGTGATTACTGAACTACATAAATCTAATTACAGATGTTGAAATAATTTTTCACAGCAGTGCTGTTTCAAAGGCAGATTGAAGAACAGAACAGAGAAGCTGAGAAAAACTTAGAAGAAGAAAGGAAAACAGGAGAAGAAAGGAAAGAGAAAGAAGAACAAGAAGCTTTGGAAAGCGAGCAAAAAGAAGTGGAAAAGCTTAACGAAGAGGAGGTAATTTAATCTCAGACACTAATGCAGCTTTGTAGTGGCTTGCATTTTAGGATTGTTATATGTGTAACTTGGTTAAAAGTAGATTTTTATTCTGTGAAGTGAAAGTAGCAGAGGCTAAGTTATTTTATGTACTTGTGTGATTAACCAGAGTCTCACTAGGGTGTCTCCTTATGCCAAGTGACTTTTTCACTGGAAACAGATGCCTTGCCTTCCCTACCTCATGTAACTGGAAGCTACAATTTCATGGCCACTGTCACCATGCTGTTGGAACAAGTTGAACATTTGCTGTCTCTGTGGCGTGGCCACTGCAGGTGGGGACACCACCAGAATATGTTCATGTCCATCTGTCAGTATTTCCAGGGTACTCAGGGAAGCAGAGGGTATAAGGAGACCTTGAGTTTGTTTAAATCCCTTTGAGCTTAAACACTTAGTGTTTAGTGTTCTGGATTTTTAGGTCCTGTTTAATGCTCTTTAGACTGGTGTGTTTTACTGAATTTAACGTGAAATTCTGCATGTATTGCAGGTAGTAAGGTATAAATGTATTTTTCTAATCAGTATTTATTTTTATTTTTGTGTCTTAAAGTATATCCAAGACTCGAAAACAGGTGAAGAAATAGAAGATAAAGAGGGAGTAAAATCTGAGCATAGTAACACTGCTACTGAAAATAATGTAAAGGATCCTCCTTCCAATCCATTAGAAAAATATATGAGAATAATTCAGCAGAGGAGAGAGCAGGAACTGGCAAACAAGGTGATTATTCTCAAAACACAGTCCCAAAAATATTGTTGACCAAATTTGTGTCTTGCTAGGCATGCTTAGAATGAAAACAATATTCACATTTAATTTTTTCTTCATTTATAAACTTTATGTAACAATCTGCAGAGCAGAGTGTTTGGATTTGTGTTGGAAAAGTGTGATGATCCAAATGAAAAAACAGAGAAAACTTTGTTCTGTAAGGATTGCTTGTATTCTCTGGGTGGGGGGTTTGTTAGTTTGTTTTTTAAAGTACTAGGACAGTATTTAAAAGTCCTCAGTTTTTAGCATAAACTGCGGTTAAATAGTTTGAACCTACACATGTCAGGTTGTGTTCCTCTAACAGAACAGAATTTATTCTGGCAAAATGGAAAATTGGACTTTTAAAGAAGAGGTATGGGTGGACATTACTTCAGTGAAGGAATGTAGGATGCTTTTGTTCAGACATGATCCCAATCTAAATTTCTGAAGTGTTACCATCCTAGATCCAGTGCAGCATTTGTAGATATAGGGTTGGTCCTTCTGAAGATTTTTATTTTCAGTTATGAGCCTTAAAAATCCAGATACTATTATTAGGTCACTTTGATATTAGAATGGGTTAGAGAAAGAGAGAAAGTGTATTTTCCTCTTGGTTACCAGGATTCAAAAAAAGAAGAAATCAGAGAAGAATCACCTTCAGAAAGACTTTTATCTACTGAAAATGACGACAGGTAAGGCTCATATATTAATCACTTCTAGTACTCCATATTAACAAATAATAATAGTAATTACTCTAATATATAGTTGTAATAGATTTAGTATGAATGTTAAGAGACATCTGCCTCCTTAGAAACCAAAATAAATTATTAATCAAAAGCAATTGTGTCAGAAAAATGGAGGATCCTTCCAATTCTTGTACATGCAAGTTAAGCACAGTATGTACCTCACATCTGAGAGCTGCAGTTTATGATTTGTATCAGTAGTTGTGGAACTCACAACTTTTTATCTGCAACTGAGCAGCATCCAACTTACTTCAGAGAGCTGGAGTTTGAGGGATTGTTTTTGGGTGATGACACCCTGGGTGAATGTTTGTCTGTGCTGCACCTCACCCATAGTCTGTTCCTAGCTTTGATTTTTCAATAGCATTGTGTACTTTTAAGATACTTTATTCAGAGATTTTTGTCTGCCTGCACTGAGTTACAACAACCCAGGCATTTCCTCTGGTTCTCTCTAGGCATTGATAAATACAGATGTGTATTTAAGTTGCTTACAAGAGAAAAACCAAACAATCCTCCTCCAAATCTTTGAGTTTATTCCAAGATGTAGAATTTAAAATAAGGAAAAAATGTGGAGCAGTTAGAAAAAAAATCCCATAAAGGCTCACTAGAACCATAGTAACGATTCACTGTTATCTGTGCTGTTAAACTACCCTGCTGCTCCTAAATTGGCACCAGTTCTGTTGTTTTAACTTGGTGAGCACTTTAGAAGATAGTTCTGCTTTCTGAGGTATAGGTGATGGCTTTCAGTTAATGAAAGTCCAAATCCTCCTCCTTTAGGGTTGGATTTATTGCCAGCAGTTCACTGAAACAGCAAGAGAATTGCAGCAAAGGCAGTCTCTTAACTTCTGTTTTAAAATGAGTATTAAGATTTAAGATAAACTACATTGGACTCATACCACTTTGTTTTCCTCCCTCCTATAATCAATATAGTGTTGCAGACATTTCTCATGGAGACGTGGATGAAAGCTTCTGGTGAACAATTACTACTGATTTTTTAATTGTTATTATTATAAATAATGTTATTATTATGAGAGATATTTTTTAAGTAGTTTTGTGCCTTTAATAAATGTTAGGCACCAACACTGCAGGCTGTGTAATTATAAATTAATAAAGCAGATTTTGATCTGTTTCATCACTTCAGTCATTCATTTCAGACAGGGAGTCCTGATGTGTTACTAATCCAGAAGGAAGCCCTTGGGTGGGGTGAGAGAAAGAACAAAGCAGGGAACAGAAACTGATCAGTATTTTTTGGTAGATTTGTGTTGGCACTGAATTCCTCTAAACTTTGTCAACTTTGCCAACCCCCACCCCCCAACCCCTTCTCCAAATGGTTCAAAGTGTGGATGAAAGGAACAAAAAATTCCCTCATCATCACCTGCTTTTGAAGGTGTCCTGTGGAGGCACTTGGCTCATACAGCGTCAGCGCACTGAGTGTGACAGACCCAAAATAAGGTGTCCCTTCTGCTGCACAGCAGGGGCAGGAGCCACTTTCAAGAGCAGCCCCTCTCACGTATCACGTTGGTATTAACCAGCCCAAAATGGAGAGATTAAAATAAAAATGCTATTTAACTCAACTTTATTTAAGCTTTGTATTTTGTAGGTAGATTATAGGCAAGATCATTAAACTTTATTTACAGTATAAAATACAGTAGTTTTTATCAATGAAGTAATTTTGGGTGGCAGCATATATTACAACTTGCACTGCATTTGAGGCTGCTCATCTTGACCTAACTACAAGAACATGAAGCCAAGTTTGACAGAATTTAGGGGCAAAAAACCAAAGTTCTGTCTTAAATTTGCTGGACGTTTAAACACTATGTACCAAAACTGTGACAGATAGAAACTTTGCTTTTTGAAATGGAGCTAAAATGTGATGTGGTGGTTACTCTGATTTTGCATGCTGCTTAATTTGCTGTTGCAGCCACTCTGGCCTTTACAGAATTTCTGAGTGACTGCTCCAGTTGGATGTTGGGAAGGGGTAGTGCTTGTTGCATTATGCTGGCCAGGAACAACTACCACTACTGCATGCTGCACACAACTGCTGCTGCAGCTGCACCTGCAGAGCAGCCCTGCCCCATGCAGGAGGGCAGGGAACTCTGGAACAGAACATGTTTCACCTCAGATAGAGACATAAAGCCTAGAGATGCACTGCCATGGAGTAGCTGTGGGTCTGGGTTCAAATAAGCATACACAAGTGTTGTCTATTATCTACAAATATTTATTTTAACACTTGGATGTAACTACAGGAAGCCCTTGGCACTGATAGAAAATATTGATTCACTGTTAGGTTACAAAAATTTATACATAGCAAAATTTAATGCTCTTTACATAAAAATATTAGACTACTTAAACAAAACTTCAAAAACTCCCAGTAATAGCTACACTGAATTAGAAAAGAATTAGGCTTTAAGACACTGCCTCCATTATTACCCTTATGCAAACACTGGGCTAGAACATCACCTGCATTGCTGTAGAAATGTCTCCTTCATGCAACAGGTAAGAACATACACTAGGCTATTTTGTCATATTTGCTCTACATCAATCAACTTTGCCCCTTTTTTGAAACTGTCAAATTAGACTTCAATAGTTAACAAAACAAATTATATTTGAAGTTAAAAACCCCCCAAAATTTTCTCTTAATACTGATTTGAAGGAATTTGTGCTTCCTTTGATGTATATTCAGCATACAGTCATAACTACCAAACCACATATCAGCTTAGCAGGGGTATGACTTGAATATTTAATCTTTTCAAATGAATGATGTATTTTTACTTTCCCCCCCCAACATTTATATATATATATATATCATATAGAACAAACACCAAATATACCATCACTAATACTCAAGATATCACTGAATGCTTCTGAAAAAAAACATTAATTAGAAGGCAGACTTCTATGGGAAATGACTTTAAAATGGCACCAGTTTGTTTGTTGTTTTTTTTTCTGAACACCACGTTTTCTTAGTGTGCTAATTATTTTGTAAAAAGGAAAACACATAAGCACTGACTATAAATTTGCTAAGCACCAAGATTGAGAAAGGTGGACATCCTGTATTATTTTTATGGCTGCAAATTTTATTGTTTGTGTAAAACTCTGCAAACTTTCTCATCCGCTCATTTGGAATTGTCAGATCAGTGTCATTTTAATAAGGTAACACTTTTACTTACTTAAAATGTAGGATAATGGTCTCCTGCCACTATATAAATGCTACAACATTTATAGAAAATAAATATTAAGGCAAAGCTGACATTTATTTTCAAAGAAGGGGATCATTATCCAGATCCAGGGATCTACATTCCATTAAATAGTTAATAAAAAGATTAGAACTTGGGAGATCTGCTCAACCCTCAGATGAGCACAGGGATGGAACAGCTTCATCGTGGCAGTGTGTGGCACAGGAGTGGAGCTGCTCTGGTGTGGGGTGTTCCCAAACTGCCCCTCTGCAACCTGGGAGGTGCTGCAGCTGTGCCATCACACACACACACACGAGCTCCTCTCAGAAATCCCAGCTGGGCACGGGTTCCTTTGGGAGCTGCTCAATCACACACCATGCACATGCCTGAGGTCTGCACAGATCTACTGCCTGCTCGGCTGGGGCACCTGCCACATTTTGTGCAGGGCGTCATGCTCTAGAACAAGTCAAATATTAAATACCAAGTCTCAAAGATGAATAATTTGGTCACTTTTTGTAAAGTGTTGCCTTTTAAAATGCCTGGAATAAACCCTCCATTCTCTTTTAGAAAGGATGGAAGATTACCAATGGGATGATTCCCCTAAAAAAGTTTTCCAGGAGCTGGAATGTGAAGCTTTTACACTTCTCTCTAATTTTGTTTGCTAGACACACATCTGTACTGCAGAGCAGCTATTTGCTGATTTGTCAGAGCTACAGAACTCTTCTGCTGAATTATTGTGGCAAACATTTATGTGTAAGAATTGAGTTGCTCTTTTGACCGAGACTGGATATCCTGAAGCTCCTGCTCTTCTTTTGCTTTGATATCTTGGTAGGCCTGCATTTTGCTTGCATCCTTTAAGTAGGCCCAGTTAGAAGACAGTATCATGAGGAAGTGGATCTGGAAGAGAAGGGTGAGCATGATGGCCAGTGAGCATGTCAAGAGGCAAAGCAAGCTGCTAGTCAGATTAATAGACGCTCTTTAAAATAACGACCAAAAAAAATAGTTATTCTACGTTAATAAGCATTCTGTTATTAAAACAAGCACAGAGGCTATTTTTCAAAGATCTCTAGAATTTGGCATGCTAATAATTCAGTTGGTTATTCACAATTTAGAGAAAGTTAGTACAACAATATTAAAATGAGCTACAGAGTTGTACAGGTCAATTAAAATGCAGAATGGGGGGAAGCAGGAAAACAGTTTTGTACGTGGCAATATACGGAATCTGTAAACTACGAGGTGCTCAGAAGAACTGCTCTCTAAGGTCGTGGTGTTTATGCATATCCAAGCCCAGAGCCCGGCAGGTCTTTTCCCCCAACAAGCAGATGAGAATTCTACCCTCCCCCTGGAAGAAAACCTGAAACTGTGAACCGTTTTATTCACGTGAACAAGGCTACATTAACACATCGAAAAATTAAACATCAACACATGAGTCCAAAACTAAGCAAAAGCATGCAATGTCTGGGTTAAGAAGTCTTAATCCTGTAATTTTATAGCTACATTTTAAACTTCCATTGTCCAACCTCAGGTGAAGAGTTGTATATAGCAAATGGTTCTCTTTTTAAAATTATTATGTGTTTGTGTTTTTAGTTTGTGCATACGTCTCTTGCCAACTTCTTTTGCCCATACTTCATGCAAAAACATCTACATCTGAAAACATTGATTCGCTTCTCCTTCTTTTTACCCCCCAACACTGTGAAAAGGTCCCTGTGATCTATGCATGGTTTTGCTTCCTCTGCAGTCATACTTACATTTTTGAGATCTGGCTACTGAGAAATCAGTTACTAAAGTGCAGCCGTACAAGAGCAGAAGCTATTTATATGCTGTTTCTTACTAGTTCAGGGTCCAAAAGAAAGAATGTGATTGTTTTACGCAGAGCTAAGATAAGGATTTATTTTCTTAGAGAAAGAATATAATTTGGCATGCACTTAAGAGTAAGATAAAATAATTGATTTAATCATCCATGGAATCACTTGGAAATACAGGCAAATTCATTCATAATACCTGGGCTTCTGACCTCTGCCAACATAGCCTGGCACTACTTTATTACTCCTTTTCTTTCACACCATATCTATTTTGCATGCTTAGGGGCATTTGTATTTGGTGTTCATGGTGAAGAATAAATTAATGCATCTGACCCTGAACTGTTCCGGTATTTGTTTGAGATGACTGGTAGAAATCAAGTGGAGACCTGAAGTGAAAACATCCCCTTCTCAGAAGGATGTTTTATAAACACCCCTACAGTAACTGAATCCTCTCAACATGAAAAAATAGCCAGATCTCATCCACATCATAGTTCATATACAAGAAGTCATTTCATTAATCTGATAAGCTAAACGATGCTTACTGAAGCTATTTACAATTACTGTAACAGAATTCAAAAAGCTAGACTTTTAGTCTAGGGTGTCAGTGGTATTTCAAGCTACGCAATGCAGCTTTTTACTGGGCTTATACAATTTAGAATTTAGTGCAGCAATCTTCCCGACTCTTAAACTTCAAAACAGCATAGTTATATGTAGTAGCCATCATGTAGATCAGCTGGTGGAAGAGAACAAAATACAGGAGAGTAAGATACAACAAGGTGACGGCTCAAGCCCACTTGGGCAACTCTCGATACTTTTACAACAGATGTTACTCTGAGCTCCTTCCAGGGTGAAGATGCAAATAAATAATCTGCCATTTCTCTGGGGAGGATAACCCAGTACAAGGCTTAAGGCCATTTTTCAGCCAGTTGTGAGCATTACAGCAGGGCTGGGCTGGCACAAGGTTAGAAGCTGGCCACTAAAGGAAGTGTTAGACATAGGAACAAGTCATCTCGTTAACGTCCCTTTTCCCCGCCGCTACCTGGAACGGGCACTGCAGGGTTGGACCAGTCAATCTGCCTGGCTCCAGGCAAAGGAAACCAAGAGGTTATAAGCAGCTGATCAAATAAACTACAAAAATGAAAATAAATAGTGGAAATAAAAGCAGAAATAGTGGATAGAAGTAGGAATTTGAAAGGACATGCAAATAATTTTTTCCTAAATATGGGGGAGGTGGGTTAAGATGACTTCCTAAAGCAAAAGTTGGGGACCTGCTGACTTGTGATGACCAAACCATAGCAGCAACTAATGGTGATTACAGCTCACCCCCCTTCATGTCTTGTATCACTACCTTTAATATATAAAAAATTTAATCTTAAAGCATCTTACGCCTAAAATTAACATTTTTAATTATAAAACAACAAAAAATACTACCCACCAATGCTATGACAGTGGCACCGGCTCCAGCACAAGCCACAATGAACAGGTGATAAGACATGTAGAACTAGAGAAAAAAAAATGTTAAAAACATTGAAGTAATTAATTAGGAATAGTATTAAATTAATTTCAAGTGTTTTAGAGAATAAGGACAATAAAACCATTTTTGTAGCATGGTAGCAAAGCTTTAGAAAATAAAAATGTGAAAATAATTTTCTTTTTTTTTTGGATGATGTAACAATTACTTCATTGTTACAGTTAAAGCAATCTCTTTATACTACTAGAATGAGTTCTCTCCAAAAACTTTAATCTAGTATTTATTACATGGTGCCCAAGTGACTTGTAGGCAAAAGCTGCACAAAGATTACATTTCTGTACCTCATTCGTGTTGCAGATGTTCTCTAAAATTGGGCCACAGGCTTTGCCAGGTACAGCATTCCAAGGGATAATACCTGAAATACCACAGAAAAGAAACCACTAATTTTAGCAACCAACACATGCTTTCTATTCCTCTCATCTTTTTCACCCACTTGCCAGTTGTGTTCTCATTCTGGGCATCTGTGCATTGACCAATACAGCTTGGAGCTGGCAGCAGAATTCAAACAACTCCCTCAGGTTATGCTTTCTCCTCACCCTGAGGGCTGCTGCTAAGGCATGTTCTCAGATGTGTTTTTCCCATCTGGCAGCCAAACGGTTGGTTGGGTTTTTGCACTTTGGGTCCAGTTGCACACTCTGCCTACTCCCCCACTCAGCACAGAAGCGAGAATCTGCATCTCAGAGGTACTTGGCACCTTTCAGGGTAGCACTTACTAGATGAGGTTCTACTTGAACAAGAAACTACTGTGAAAGGGTGTGAATACAGAGCTAGAGGGAAGAATTACAGGATTTTTTTCTGGTTTAGTTCCAATAGGTAAAAAGCATCAAGTGAACACTGCTACAAGAAAGTTCAGTCTGCTGCATCTCATATACTCCCAATGACTTTTCTTACATGATTGCAAATCTGAAAGTCAACAGAATCTAGCAAATTGAAAATAACATAAACTTGGAGGCCAGTAACAAATGTAAAGCTTAATCAAAACCTATTTGAATTAAGAGAAACCCAGTTTGTTTTCCCATACAACTTTGCATTGCAACCCAGCTGGTTGGAATTAGCAACTCTATATGCAGCAGGTCATTGAAATGATCTCAGGATGGCATGGCTTTCAAAAAGATTTTATAGAATTTTCTTCCAAGTCAGCTTCTTCTCTGCAATGTACAATTCCAGCCTTTTAGCTACTGCTTCCACCCAAAAATGTGAGGAAAGTTCAGTGACATGTGTTGTCTGTTGGGGAGCTGCTCTCTTCCATCACGCACTGAAACCCAAATGGTTTTACTGAGCAGGGGAACAATAGAGCCCTATACAGCACTAATACAGCTGTAAAACAACTAGGAGAAGCAGGAAGGTGGAGGAGCACATCTCCCTTCACTCCTAAGATTTTTTGCTGAAGAAAATGTCTTCCCAGGCTCTTGCTGTGAGCTGTTAAAATAGAACGTATATGTTTAACTGATTTGAAGACTTGCTTTTAAAATTAGTGTATCTTTTCTTGTACTGCACTTACCTGGACAGGAGAGCAAAGCCATGCTTTCTTACTTTTTCAACTTTGAATCCATTTTCTCAGCTTTGAATGACTTAGTCCAAAGAAAGAAATATTCCTAGAAAATGCTAGCTAGAATGAAGCCAAAAGTAATGGTGACAAAAGATCTTCTTCACAAGGGAAGCTGAAAATATTAACTTCAGGAAAAACTCACCTTAAGAAATGAAAAGCCTGACATTATTTTAAGTTATTGTCCCAGCTCCCTCAGATTTCTGTGTGTCATCAGAAAGCAGTATTAATTCATTATTAGTTATGGCAGATTTTTAATTGCAGGTTTTTGGTTTTTTAACTGAAAGTAATTGTCAGAGCGACATTCAGACATTTACTTCATCGTTAAATGTAAAACAGCTTTCTGAAAGAACAGAATACAATAGTATGGGTTCAAAACCCACAATCTGGTTATCTATTTCTCAGCACTGTTTCCAAGCAGTTTATTTTGAGGCGGATCTATTTTCAAACCTAATATTACAGTATTGGAAACCACTACAAAATCATTTCAGATAAGTGACTTGTCAGTTCAGTTAAATTGATTGCATCTGGAAAGAGATCAGTGTAATGTGAATTAATTAGAAAAGTAATAGCACACTCAGAGATAGAAGATGCTTTTGCATTTGATTCATCTGATAAGGCTGAGACAAAACTACCGAAGACAGACCGGGGAGGATGGATAAAGCATTTAATCAGGATTAAAACAAGTACCATATTGCCTGATGTCCACGCAGATCTGGTCCCCTGGAACTGTCACATTGGTCTGAAAAGATTTGATGACTTCACAAGTTGACCAGATGTTATAGAACATAAAGACAGGCACAGCAGAGAAGCCGAAGACCCCGAGCCAGGCCACTCCAAGCACATAGGTGAGGAAAACAAACTGGGCAGAGAAAACACAAACACTTTGTGTTTATTCTTTGAAAACACTACTTAAATTTTCCTTAAAAGTGCTTCAAAATAACCTTAAGCATAGTTTCAGAATTCAAGTAAGAGAGCATCTGATTTTCAAGCACAAAAAATCAGTATTCTCATTGCTTACAAATACTTTGGTAGTTTAAGTGCTACAGAGAAAGTAATTCAGACATTTCCTTTTTCATCAGCCTGCTTGAGTAAACAGATTGCCCTCATGAAAGAGCAACCCATTGATTTCTCAAGATTCTCAGCTAAGCAGGGATGCTGGTTGTAGGCTAAAACCAATAAATTCCAACAAAAATCAACTTAAGTGGTTTTTTTTAAAATTAACTATAACATACTAGCATTTCTATACAACTTGCAAATCAAAACTATGCAGTGAATCAATGCTCACAGAGCTCTCCCACACTCCCTGATGTATTGAAATCAATTTGGAATGTAACGTTTGAAAATACCTATTTTTGCAAACATACCATGACTGTTAACAGCAGATCAGAAGGATTCAATTGGTCTAATACACACTGCCAAGCAGAAAATTAATTACTTCACCTTAGAAAATCATGGATTTATCCACTAAAATTTGCTGGTTTGGGTTTGCTCTTTAAAAAAATCACTATATCACATGCATTTTCTTTGGTTAAATTAAAAGACGTGGCGCTGATTGCTTTGAGCATTTCCAGCTTCCTCCTCCCACTAAGCCCCTTCCCTTTTCCCTCCTCTTCAAAGTGTTATGGTGAAACAGTAGCTCTGGCATCAGCTCCTAGCTCCCTCCTCCTGGTGAGACCAGGATTTGGGTCTCCACTGGAAGGTGGGGGAATGCTGTTACATCTCCTGGGCTCTCTTTTCACCGTTAACTGTGGCTGTTCTCTCTGTAGGTGGACTGGAAAGGCTTCACTTTCAGTAAAGCACTGGTGCCCTATCTTAAAATTTGTGTGCCAGAGGACAGCAGCAAGGATGGGAAAGGCTCTTAGGGAGGAGGATTCTCAGCCTGACCCAGAACAAAGGGCCTGAGCTAATGCTGCAGTGGTGGAAGTTTGCATCCCCACAGGATTTTTTCCAGAATAACCCTGCAAGTATTTGAGCAACAGCTGAACAGCTGGCTAGGTTTCAGTCAAGGGAGGTGGTGTGTGGGGAGGTGGAAGCTCTTGCAAAACTATGGCACATAAAACCCCAGCTAGACTTTAATTTATAGACACCTCCACTGGAATACCCTATTTCATATTAGATAGCGCAATACACCAGACCTGCGTGTTTTGTGTGAGTATTGAAAATCCTCTCTTTGGATTGTGGGAAGGACCAAGTGGTCCAGGTTAAAGAATTTCTGTAGATACACTACCAATAAAACATGAGTTTGCATATGTGTATGTGGAAGTGTGCATGAGAGGAAGTGCACAAAGCCTTTAAATCCTAAAATAGTCAGAAAAAAATACATTCACTCTCATATTTAATGTGATACCTGTGGGAAATGGCTATTCTGCATTACCAGAGCCAACACAAATAATTTAGGGAAGATGGAAGTCTGTCTTCTGTAACAACTTCTTGCAAGATGGGACTGCCCTTCAGGACTTTGCTCAGTAATGTAATGAAAGAAGTAGTAGAGGAGCTCTTGATCAAAGTGGCAAAAGGTCACTGTATGTCCAGAAGCCTGTTGCCTGTACCCAGCTGCAGTCACTAGTCTGTTAAACATTTTATCTCCTCACAAACCTTGTTCTAGCCCTAAGGTTTTACACAGCAGCATACAGGCACTTCTCCTGTCACCACCAAACATGAATGCAGCTTACCAGAGCTCTAAGCCATTCCTCAGCTGGTAAATTCTCTCCTTCATTGTGTGGACAAACATGAAAACACATTTTTCTGCTCTATTTCCATGTGTCACACTGGTATTTATATATATATATATATATATATACAATCATGTGCCTGCAACTACTCAACTGCACAAACAATTGTCTGTACTGATGAGATGCATGGATGTGTATGTTTCTACTTCGTTTTGGATCTTTTGAAAACACTGCTTTAGATCTAAATTTGCCCCTTGGTGAAGGAGCAAATTTATGCTTGATAGAAAAAAACTGTTAGAAAAAAACTGATAGAAAAAAAACTGAGCAAATAGGTCTTAACTGAAAAATTATTAAATGCCTTATTTTTATTAGCTCTTGAAAAATTCAATAAGTACCGAACAGTACAGTGTAAAATTGCTAACTCTCATGAAAATAAACATGCATCTCTTTTGTATTTAACCAGCTGAAAGTACATATTTTTTAAGTTCAGGATATAGACTGTATATTAAAATGCAACAATCACATCAAAAGCCTCTTCTCTTTTCACCCACACTTTCCCGTGGGCGATCTGTCATACTGCTTAGCTTCCTCCATAACTACGAGCTTTGAATTCAGATTTTCAGTAATAGCTTTGAAATCTTCTCTCAGAAACATAGTTATGGCTGTTCTTGCAGAGTGTGCCCTTGGGGACAATGTGGGTGAGAATCTGAAGTTTTATTTTTAGTTAAACTTTGCTTACAATTTTGTTCTAATACAGAAGTATGCTGAAGAGAATATGGCTGGTAACTTTAGGGCTTTGCGAAAAAGCTGCACTATTCTGTCTGCCTTTTGCCATCTGCAAATCAATACTTGATTCAAGTGCAAAAATGTTGTGAAGCTTCATTCATTCATTACTGTTTGTTGAAGGATCCAGACACTCAAGCACAATTGACTATGGAAGTCAGAGCCATTACAATTTGATATTTAAATAGCTCTGCAAACCACAGCCATTTTACAGTCTGCCTTTAAGCATCACTCAAGTGTTCCATGTTTAAAAGCACGAATTTCATTTTAGCTCACATTAAGTGTTTTAAAATTAGCAGTCTCCTCAATTTAGTTTAGACCAGTGGGTTCAGCTTTATGACAGGGGAGGCCATGGCAGCCCCCACCCAGCCCATCTGTAGCACTTTGATTTAACCAAGCACCCTTGAAGTTCAGAGAAGAACCAAGACATGGATTGACCCTGATCACACACAAGGAGTTAAACAAAGAAGGCAGCAACATTCTGTTATTCAAAACCCAGGAATAAACCGAGCCCAACAGCTTTTAGCCAGCAAAGAGTGATGTTCCCATTTCTGATCCCACTCACCATTCCACTGATGCAGCGGCCACAGGCTGTTGTTTTGAACTCTCCATGCAGCTCCTTCACAGCACTTGTTGTATAAAACCCTTCCGCCAAAAGGATTATGCCATATAAGAAGAAAAATGATGCAATGCCATAAATTACATACTGCATTAGCTGTATTCTAAAATGGAAAAGAAAGAAAATATATCATTAGATTTCAGTCCTATAAAAACAAAGTCAATCCTCTCAAATTATAATAAATGAGAGACAACTCCTAGAAACAAAGTTCAACTCTCCCTAGCATTTTAAGCAAGCAGACTGCAGGAAAACACTGTTACAACTGTGCCCCTTCCCAGGTAAGCAATCCTGATGTGCATTAGTCCTGCACCCACCTGAGCATCCCCTGTTGGTGCTGCAGTCCTTACACTGACTGGTGTTAGTCACCATGTTAAAGCTGCAATTTCACACCTCCACTATGAAGTTTTCCTTCTTCCTCTTACTGCTCCTGACGCCTAACTTGGGAATGGCTGACAGGACAATGCAGGGCTTTGAAGTGGCAAAGTCTGGAGCTGCACCCCTGACTGAACTACCAGGCTCTGTGGTCATTCCTGTGGCTTAGGGAAAGGAAGCAGTCCCTGAAATTCACCATTTCCACTGGTGAAATCCAATTAACTCAAGTTTGCAAAAATTTCTGAATTCAGCAATATTCGTCTGATACAAAACTCAGCAAACATGCTGTGACTTCTCCTGAGGCTGCTCTATAGCCTGGAAGGGTAGTTCCAAGTGGGCTGGTAGTTCCAGTACTTTAAGTCACAGCAGTGTTGAGTGCTTCAAAATGTTCGGGTTTTTTTTTTAATGGAAGAGCTATTTAGGAAATGCTTCCGTTTTAGGTACTCTGGAACCACTCAGAGGAAGATCATCTCAGGGCACATGGTATAAGCACTTCCCTCAGATGTTATTTGAGAAAGTTCTTGATTTCTTAAAAATCTACCATCTGCAATGACACTCTAAAAGCATTTTTCCTTTAGCTAGACTAGATAGATGAAAAGAATAATTTCTAAACATTATCAATCAGATTCTGTATCCAAATATAATTGTTTTGGAGGACCAGAACTATGGATCTTCCATACAACACTTCTGATCTTCAAAAGTCATATTTTGTTATTAGCACAATTTCTCTGGAACTTCTTAAAAGGAATTTGATTGTTGGGATGATTATTTTTGATGAAGTTATTCACAGAACCAAGAGGTTAATTTCATACATCCACACTACCAGTTTTCTGAGGATAAATATGCTTTGCTCAAGATATTTTCTTCTGATTCTTGCCACTCTCCACCAAGTAGCTGCTGGCACAGATCTCCAAAGAGCATATGAATGTTTTAGCTTAAAGAAAATTGATGACTACCATTTACATAGTTAAATGTTACCCTTGTAGCAAAATAGGATATTGCTCATTTAAAATTTTATGTGGGAAGTGTTATCTTTGTTTTCCAAACTGATTAAAAATAACTGGATAAATCTGTTGCATCTATGCTGTAAAGAACAAAAAAATTAACTCAAGAGTATAGAAAAAATAATTTCACCATCATTACTAGTCCAGGAGAGACCCAATGCACGGTACCAGAAATTAGTAATAGGAAAACTGGTTTAAAAAGTCTATTCCAAAGGGTGTGTTACTAGGATTTTTTCCTTTTTCATGTTGCTGTAGCCTCAATTTGCCCCTTTCTAACACCTCTTCTCCCTTCTCACCCCCTTGGCTCCACAGCAGCAAGCCCTGAGCTGCTTTGGTAGGAATTATGCATTCTCCCAGCTGCTGGTGCTGACATGACAAGAAACATTGTCAACTACTCTCCAAAACATAAAACTTGCTGCCTCTGACTGCTGCTTTTGCAATTTCTTCTATTTTGCTCAAACGGAGACTGATGCAAGCACAGGGTGTTTTGTTACCCAGTTGCTGAAGAACAGCTGCTTACATTTTCTCACTGAATTTTGTGTCTAACTGCAGGGCCCTGGTGGCTCATGCCCTGGAGCTGGGGACACACTGCCAGCCACAGCCAGGGACTGAGTGTGGGCAGTGCTGGAAGCGGGGACCCCAGTGGGGAGCAGCCCCAGAGCGGGTGAGGGTACAGAGGGTCCCGTGGACAGGGGAAGCCCTGAAATGGTGCTGTGGGACTGGCACCAGTGCTCAGAGGGCATGCAGCAAACTGGCAGGTCTATGCCTGCAAGCATGTACAGGGAGTCAGTGACAACAGATATTAAAAAGAAAATAAGAATTAAGTGTGCTGCACAGGGCCCTGATACCAGAGTCTTCAAGTATCACCTGTCTGGCTTGCTGCCCTTGCACTCCTGTATGTGCCATGCCCACCGTGTTCATCACAGGGGCCCCTCATCACAGGCACACACGGCCAGGCTGGCTGCTGGACATGGGACCCGAGGCACCATTCCAGGCCTTCCTCTGACCTCACAGAGAAGCACTGGGAACATAAAAGGCCCAAATATTTTGCCTGTGGTTAGTTATATCCAAATGCTACATTTGCAGATCTTTCCAGTTTTTTCTCTTTTCCCTCAAATACCAGTCCAGCTGCTTCTGAATAGGGATGGTCAGAACCAAGCTTCTTTGTTACTCTTGACATACCTTCCAACTGTATGTCATCAACAGAAACTAAATCTACTCTTAAAATAAACTTGTTACCCCTTGTTCTGTTACAACAGGCCCTGCTACAAGTCACTCTTCAGCTCTCTTGTAGGTCCCTTTAGGTGTTGGAAGGCTGCTCTAAAGTCTCCCCAGAGCTTTCCCTTCTCCAGGCTAAACAGCCCCAACTCTCAGCCTGTATTCACAGAAGAGGTGCTCCAGCCCTCTGATCATCTTGGTGGCCTCCTTTGGAGCCACTCCAACAGGTCCAAGTCCTTCCTGTGTGAGCACACCCAGAGCTGGATGCAGCACTCCAGGAAGGGTCTCACCAGAGTAGGGGGGCAGAAACACCTCCGTCACCCTGCTGGTCAGCTGCTTTGGATGCAGCCCAGGATATAACTGGCTTCCTGGGCTGGGAGTACACATTTCCAGCTCATGTTCAGTTCTTCATCCAACAGCACCCCCAAGTCCTTCTTGGCAGGGCTGCTCTCAATCCCTTCATCTGTCGCCATGTATTGATACATTGCCCTGACCCATGTGCAGCACCTTGCACTTGCTGCTGGTGAACACCGTGAGGTTCACACAGTCCCACTCCTCGAGGCTTTCTGGGTGGCATCCTTCCTTTCAGGTAAGCAAACTGCACCACTCAGTTTGGGTGTCATCTGCAAAGCAGCTGGGGGTGTGCTCAATTCCACTGTCTGTGATCCTGATGAAAATATTAAAGAGTGCTGGTCCCAGTATAAGCAGGCGTACCAGGATACACACTTTGGCTTTTTGTACGTGAACACCAGTAAATGACCGAGCGCTGCTGCAAAAACAAGCAACCTAATACTCAGGGATGGAGACTGAGGTTTGAGTCCATCTCTACTCATTTAGCATGAGGGTGTTATGATGAATTATGGGAATGGGAGGCATACTTACACTTCACTCAGCAAAGCATGGTCACTGGCAGTCGTGGAGAAGTGCTGCTCGAGGATAGACACGGTTCCCGTGAGCGCCACGTGGCCACAGCCACAAAACAACGCTACCCCCGAGAAGCAGAGAATGGTTGCCACGAGTGAAGCATATGGCACTCCTCCTAGGCACTTAATGCAACATTCAAAGCAACCTAAGCAGAAGAGAGAAAGCAAAAGAAATGTCATGAGCAAAAAGCAAATTATGAGGAAAAGAATATTTGTCCTCCACTTGGTAAAAGCCAGAGGGAATAAAAGGCCCAGGCATTGACATGCTAAGCAAAAAAATCTATAGGTGGTACAAGACAGCATCACCCTCTAAAGCAGTGACCTACAGATCTGTTGGTATGGATTCAAAGCCCAGAAAGTGGGCTGAGTGCTCCTGTCTTTACAGGATCAAGAGGAGATCGATGAGACAGCCTATGAAATGGAAAAAGCAAAAAAATCACTGTCTAAAGTGATCCGTTGCAATTCAGCTGCTCATCCAGAGCTCAGCATGTTTCAGCTTTACTAATGGCAGGAGCACCAGCTCAGGGAGCCAGAGAAGCAACTACTCAAGACAATGAAGCCTTTTGAAAAAGTAGGAGATACTTTGCAATTGCATTGGAAGATGAATACATTTCAGTCCACAAAACTTAACTACCCCACACTCCCAGTACTCCCAAGTTATATTTTTATATAAATCCACATAAGGTTATAGGGGTACAAATACTTTTACAACAGAAAAATTGAATGGGGTCCAAAGAGTAACAGTTTTTGTCAAGGGTTGCTGTATGAAGCTATATTACACAGCCAGTACATTTCCAGCTTCTTACAGGATACACTGGATTTACAGTGATCCCTGAATACAGTTTGCAGTATCACGATCAACTGAAATGCATTAACTGATCTGAGTTAACAAAACACCCCCCCAGAGCTGCTATTTGTATGAGCACTGTAATAAGGAGGTTGCAGCTGAATTGCCAGGTTCGTTCCAACTGCGTGGCCTGAAAACCCATCTGCTTACAAAGCTGGGAAATGTAAATCGGAAACAAACACAGCTTTTAACTGCGCTATAATGGTAATGGCAATCCATACCAATTCATTTCTTCAGGGCGATGGCATTAAGCTGTCTCCATTAATGTGCATTTCATACAACTGTGCAGAACACAAGCCATTAAGCCAACGCTTAATGGAGCAGCCAGCGTCGCAGGACAGCCACCGCTGCTATGGCAAGGCGCTACATGGACAAAGCATTTGAAGGCAAGGAGACAGCTGGCAAATGAGGACATCACATCTTCCCACCCAAAAAATTCCTCACAAAGATCAGCAAGTCTCCAGCCACCACATGAGGCAAGTTTATTTTTATCTCCCTTCCTTTCCCACTAATGAATGAATTGCAGAGCAGGCACTTCTGTGAGGCACTGAGGAATAATATGCATCCAATAATTGAAAGATTTCCCATTTCATAAGTAAGAAACTCTTCTTTTTGACAGCCACTAGCAAATGCCATAGCCAGGCTTAAGCAGCTAACACCATCAAAATTACTTACTTCACTAGCTGCAAGACAAGATTTGATTGTATAGAAACAAGCCTGGGAAGGTTTTATAGTCTAGTCCACAGCTGGAGTCCACTCAGTAGGAACTATCTTCATGACAAAAATACTGCCAAAAGAACAAACACTGCAGCTCGGCAGTGATGGGCCAAACAAAATCCAAATGCATGCTATCAGAGGAAATAATCTCTGGGTTTCATTTTATCAGAGAGGTCAAGAGCTGAGTTCAGACAACAAACCTTGCAGAGCAATCCTCTGCTTTGGGGAATCTGCCTGAGATCAGCTCACATGCAAGAGCAGCCACACATGTGTGCCTGGCTCTCCTCTGTAGCATCCACTCCCAGGTCAGGTTCAAACCTCCCAGAGTTAATCCAAGAAATGAATACACCTGGTGTAGGATTAGCCATGAAAGATTACCCAAAAGTAACCATGTTCTGACCCAGCAGACAACACACCTGTGGTCACAGCCCAGCACAAAACAAACCACTTTTTGAGCCACACTCCTAAAGCAGGAGACCCAATGCCTTAATCATTGCTTAGTGTGAAGAGGTTGATCATTAATTTGTGCTTATCCTACAGATTGCTTTGCAGAAGGATCCTATCAAAGACAGGAAATAAAAACAGCTGGAAGCAAAACCAAGAGATTGAGAAGATCCAAAATAAAAGCTGTTGGTTTCGGAAAATGGGAGCAGCCTGACAAAGCTAAAAGCTGGTGTAGACCCAGGACTGATCTTTAATACCCCATATCGCCAAGCCAGCTTTCCAGGCCACTGGCAGAACATTTGCCCTGAGGAGTTTGTTGGACCCCTTGCCCAAACACATGACAGTATCTGCCACTAATCCACAGACCCTTGAACACAAGGCAACAGTGGCAGACCCCCTCTCACCTCTCAGCAACTGGCAGCTGCACAGACTGTCACTGTGGCCATACTCTTTGTCTTCCTCTGCAGTCCAAGTAAAAAGGCATCACAGAATTTGGGCGGCCTCCATTTTCTCAGTGCAGAACAAAGCCAAGGGACACCCTCAGAGGTGTCTAAAGCAGCCACATTATTTCGAGCAGAGAAAACTGCCCAAATGTGGAACTGCAGGAGCTACTCACCTTGACCCCAAGACTAAAGCAGGAATCAGAGAGACTTAGGTACACCTGGAAACAGCACACAGCCAGCTTGCAAGCACATGAAGCATTCCAAACCAGCATGTTTCCAAGAGACAGCATCCATCCATACACAGTCATTCTGCACCCAAATTGACACCAGAGCTGCACAGCCTCCTGCCAGAGGGTAACTAACTGCAGGATGCAACCTCATCTCAGTGCTGGGACTGCCAGATCTCCCCCCACATATCCCACTGTGAACACTGTGAGCAGATTAAAGCCATGCCTAGCCTGAGCAATACAGCCAATTTTAAAATTTTAACACAAGCCTAAAACAGTACTTTCAAAACCAGCTATGTTTTGAAGCTCATCAAGAACTGAGATATGCTTACCAAGCTTCCCAAAGAAGCACTGAAGCAAAGCAGAGGACTTCTGAAAACAATTAGAAAGCTTTCCAGGAAACCTTTATGTTTTCTCTCTGCAATTCTAAGTCAGCAACTATCTTCACACAGTACAAGTGAAACCCCAGGAAGATGTTTGCCTAGCTCATGTTCACAAAATAACTTGCTAACACTGTGATGACAACTGCAGGCTGAAGGCCTGTGAACTCAAGCTGACAAAAATAATAGAATTAAAATAAGTTCAGCTCCAATTTTCTGCTAGTTTTTATTTTCCATATGGCCAAATCACTGAACTGTTCAGCTGTATATCCACTTCCAATGAAACAGTGTAAAACCATTTAAATATGAAACTGTACAGCACAAACACACATCACTGCATCTTCCCTTTCAATGGCCATTTTGTGCAAGGCATCGCTAGAACCTTTTGTTCAACTCAGCAGAATAAAAACATTTTTTGTCCTCAGGCTGGTGAGCAGCAGTTGCCATGGAGGCAGGTTAATAACAGCCCAATGATTTGCCCAGAGCTGCCTGTGATCTTGGCTACAGATTTAACACACTCTCAGAAGGAGGCCAGCTAAAACAAAGACTGAGATTATTCTCTAGGGAATGAATGCTATTAAACACACACACACACACACAAATATTCTTGCTAAAGGACAAAAATAAAGAGAAGAGAAAGAAACAGGAACTGGCTATTCTTTTAATCTCCTGGCAGCTATCAGTCACAGGAAATTGGTAAAGGATGAACCTACATATGTACATAAATCGGCAATTGGTTGCTTAATGTATGATGAACAATTATACAATCTGCTCAGCAGTGTACAGCCTACTGCATTTATGCAGGGGCTTAGCCATTCAATTTCCCATGCCAAATGGTGATTGTGTGGCTAAACCTCCTTTGGTAATTTAAGTACAGCTTTAAGATTTAAAGTCAGAATGGCAAGGTAATAGAGAATTAATGGAAAATTGTCTTAAAATAAAAAGAAAAAAGAGGCAGTTCTCACCTACTAAGTTCTAAGGCCTTAAATAAAATAAAAAGAAAAAAGAGGCAGTTCTCAACTACCTCATCCTACTAAGGTCAAATCTGTGTTTTGGAAATTACAAAAAACAATGCAATAGGATCAGGTAGCTTCCTTAAGTGTTCCTAGGGCTTGCTCTAGGAAGACCATACATCAATTCTTGAAGCCCAGACTTGAAAAGGTGAGACAGGCTGATGTTCGCAAAGCCATCCCTCAAAGCAAAGCATGGAAAACATGCTGTAAAGAAGGAATATTCACACCTCTTGGACAGAAAACCAGCCTATTGTCTAACGTTCCAAACACCTCCTAGGCTGAACTAGTGCCTCTCAATGCATCTCAGGTTCTAACCACAGGCCCATAGTCAAGGTCACTATGGAACAAAAAAATCACAGAATCAAGAAAACCTGAAAGGAGCTTTGAAAAGTTTTCCATTTCAGGGAGCTAAACCTCCAGCTAAACCTGCTGTCTGTCTTTGAGTTAGTTCCCACTTTCTTTTCCGTGGAAGTTTGGTTTCTTCCCCTCCCAGGAAAGATAAAGCAACGGGCATAATTTTCTCCTTGTCACTGACTTCCTGTAATTGTGTAACAAATTTTAGGAAATGCTGGCCTGTCAGACTCCAGCCCAGTTAATACACGGCAGAAATTGCACACCGTGTTCCAGCACAGAACCACAATCCCTGTTGGCTTCAGCACCACAGCTCAGGGAGCAAGTGGGGAGGAACTGTTTCAAAAAAGGAAGTTGCAAGAAATCCAAGGGAAAAAAAGCACTAGATAACACCTAAAATGAAAGCACTAGATAACATCTTAAATGCAGCCATCGAAGGTAAATCGGGCTCATTGCTACACATCCACAGGAGCCTAGTGTTGGTAGCATCACTCCCAATTCACAACTGCTTTCCCCAGTGCTGAAGACTACCCAATACCAAGCATGAATAATACCCATGGAGGCCTAAACCACCATGGATTTCTGTCAGAAAATTAACTTTATGTCAATGAAAGGAACTGTCAATTTTACTGTCTGCCACCCACTGTATGTTTGAAAATTTCCATTCTGAATGGTTTATGCATGCTAGGATGTACATTTTCCTACCTGCTGCATGATTGGCAGC